TTAACAGACATGACAGAAATGCTGAACAGCTTTAACTTGCAGCTACAAGGCCAGGGGAAACTCATTTGCGAAATGTATTCCCACATAAAAGCATTTGAGGTGAAACTAGAGCTGCTTTTGGGACACGTGAAAAAGCACAGCTTCGTCCATCTCCCGGCTACACAAAACCTCTCTGCAGAGAACCCAGCGGTCCCGTTTCCAGCTGAAAAGTGTGTGGAAACACTGGAAATGCTGAAGGCGGAGTTCGGTGCACGATTCCGTGAACTAGATGTTTATGCAAAAGAAATCCGTCTTTTCCAGAACCCCTTTGTTGCCGACATTGACGAAGCCCAGCCTTCTTATCAGTTTGAGTTGGCCGAGTTACAGAACTGTGATGTTCTGAAAGATGCGTTCAAGCCCAGCGGTCTCATTGACTTCTATGCCGCCCTCCCAAACGACACGTACCCTAACATCAGAAAACACGCAAGGAAGATGTCCACACTTTTTGGCAGCACATATATTTGCGAGCAAACCTTTTCACGCATGAAACTGCTGAAAACTCCAATGAGATCAAGATTGACAGATGAACACCTGCATCAGTGTTTGAGACTGGCAGTGACTAGAATGGAACCTGAGATTCAACTTCTCACCAGCCAGATACAGGCCCACAGTTCACACTGATGAACATACAAAGGTAAGCTCACTTTTCTGACTTGAATGAGTCATTCTGACTATAAAAAATATAATCATAACAACCCTCTCTGTCAATACCCCAGAGAGGGTTATTTGGTTATTATTTATTTCATAAATAGTGTTATTTACTTCCTGAATTTTGTTCTGTGAAGAATCCAGAAAGGGTTATTTGATTGTGCTTTCTGGAAAACAATAAATTTTTACGTTTAGGCACTCCTGCAATCGTCACACTTTTTCTGTTACAAACTGACTCCGGCCCTCCACCAGAGAAGGGAAAAGTTATGTGGCCCTCACAGGAAAAAGTTTGGGGACCCCTGGTCTACATGACTGTAACAAGTAATAATAATAATGAATTTAATTTGTAACACACTTTTCATTAACAAAAATCTCAAAGTGCTACAAAGTGCAACTAAAATCAGTGATAAAATCATGTGGAGGCAGAATAGGCTTGCTTAAAAAGAAGTCTTTAAGCCTTTTTTAAAGTCAACCAATGATAGCGGAGCTCTCAAATAGTCAGGGTAGTTTCAGAGGCAGGGGGCAGCCACACAGAATGCCCGATCTCCCATGGTCCCTTTTTTTTCCCCTTGTCCTGTCCGTCATTGTGACACTCAGAATTATTGTCTGAGAGTCAAAGTGATGCCCAACAGATTTACTTTCACAAGCAGAGCATATGGCTGGCCTTAATGCTCAACTTGATAGAAAAATTTAATTTTATTAGAATTTGCTTTGGGTTTGTTCCAGATGTAATGGACATGGGGACAGAAAACAAAGAAGAAAACAAAGCAGAAAAGTGAGAGAATAGTTAAAATGTAAAGAAGGAGATAGGAATAGAGGAGAGAGAGGGGGATAAAGAGAACACAGATCAACATCATTGAAGTCTGACTCTAGACCTGCAGAAAGAAGAAAAACAAGACAAAACCGAGAAACCACAACAACAAACAACATATATAATGATACTTATAACATCATTAGAAAGTATTTTATACAGTACATGGTAATACAAGATATATTTAGTGGCCACCACAACCCAACTGAGTGTGTATCTGATAAACATCTGGATCTAAACACCTGTGTGAGCATGATGTCACTATAAGGCTTCTCCATAAAAATGTTCAATAGTGGATGTGGGGACCCACAGACCCGTCCCCACAGGACACGATGGTAACACAAGGAAAACCGGAACCACAGACACACAGCGGCCCCCAAGCCCGGAACTCTGGGAGTCTCCCAACAGAAACAACCGCACCCCCCAAAGAGAGAAGCAAAGGGAAGCCCCGGGCGATCCCCAGCAACCACAATGAAGAAACATCCAAGAGGCTGCAGCAACGAGTCCACAGGCCCCGCCGGCAACCCGCCCCACCAGAGTAGATCCGGCTATGGACACCGAGCCCCGAGGTCATACCACCCCCCAACAGAGGCCCGACAGAGCCAGGACACCCAGGGCCCGGCAGGCAGCGACCAGGGCGGGCCCGCACACACCCCACCACCTAGCCCCAGCTGCTGAGAGCTGCCAATGCACTGGCGGCAGGGGGGCCCACCACCGGAGCAGAGCCCAACACACCAAATGGGGGGCCAAAACTGATCCAAGAGAGGGGACCACCTAAAACCCAAACTGAGACATAAACAGGCACACAGAGACAGCCCAACAGAGCCTTTGGCGGGCCGTCCATGCGCCCCACCCACCCGACAGCGACTGCAAGACGGCCCCAGGCCGGGGGCCAGAGCAGCAGGGATCAGCAGCTGAGGAAGGCCAGCCCAGCGCACCAATGCATCCCTACAGCCCCACACCACAGGCCCGGAGAGGCCCCGGCACGCCACCCATGCACCCCCCTACACACACAGTACCCCCCACCGCAAATGTCACATCAGGCCGACCAGCCAGCGCCCTGTCGAAGTGAAGCCACGCCCCCGACCGCAATGCACCACCAATGACCACACACACACAACCACAGCTGACCCCCTGCCAGAACCCGGCAGCCACCCCAGCCAAAGGGCCGGCCATCGCAACCAGGAACCCTGATCAAAAGATACAAACAACTCAGGGAGAACTGGAGCACAGGCCCCACCCCCAATCGTCCCCAAAGGCCCAACACCCACCCACAGCCCAGACCCCAACCAGGCAGCCTACCCCCTCTCCCTGCCCCCGACCCCAAATGTCAAACGGAGAACGAGGGTTTAAGGAAAACAGGAAGACCCAACTCCTCCCTCCTCCCACTCAAATAAGATGTTGGTGCATGTCGTTATATAGTGCGTTTAAAATGGGGGGGGGGGGATGAGGCGGGAACTGGCACAGACCCACCCCCTCCCCAGAGAGCAGGCAGTGCCCGTTCACCTCCCCAACCCTTGCCCAGAACCCTAAATGTCTACATGCTACATATGAGAGTGGGCACAGGTCCCAGAGGTGAGAATGATTACACATCCCACCACCTATATGCCACCATGTGCCCACTCCAGACCCTATATACGCATGTGTTGTGAGAATGTTATATGTGAGTGTCTAGGTTGTTTAATAAAATTGGGGCCCAGGTCTCCACAAACCATGGAGATGGAGGATCCTCCCCGCAGCTCAGTAGTGCACCTGAACCCCAAGGCCCTGCTTGAGTGGTGGTGTGATGGAGTGGGCGGAGGAAGATGTCGGGATGGGGAAGAACAACTGAAGTGGCAATGCCCTCCCAGGTGGCCAGCTCCCCCACTGACCCCAATAGGCACCCACATTCTCCAAGATCTCCCATGGTCATTAATTTAGTTCATGGAAGGAGAAGGAGATTACTCTTCTGTGATCGTAGGGACCGGGTGGATGAATATGGAGCAAGAAGGTCCTTCAGATAATCTGGTGAAGTTCCGTTTAAACACTGATGGGCAATGAGTAGGGCATTAACAGAGTACTCGAGTAATCTACATATCGATTGCTAGGACCTCTATCGAGGTTAAAAATGTAATGTCGAGTAACCGTAGTGACGTCATATTATGTGACCACCGTATGACCGTAGGGGGCGGTGTTGCACTGTTGCAGGTCACAGAGTATGGTGTAACACCGGGTCCAATCCACCGCCCAGCCACTGTTTTAAGTTTTGTTTCTGACATGCTGTGTTTGCAGTTTAATAATAATAACTAATAGTTTAGTTTTTCCTGTAACTTATTTGCAGTATGCTAAATGGTAGGAGCATAATATACGCTCCCAATGTTTTGTTGGGCAGCACGGTGGCGCAACTGGTAGAGCTGCTGCCTCTCAGCGAGCAGGTCCCTGGTTCAAACCTCGGTCCAGGGGCCTTTCTGGGTGGAGTTTGCATGTTCTCTCCGTGCATGCGTGGGTTTTCTCCGGGTGCTCCGGTTTCCTCCCACAGACCAAAAACATGCATGTTAGGCTGATTGGTAACTCTAAATTGTCCCTAGGTGTGAGTGAGAAAGTGAATGGTTGTTTGTCTCGTTTGTCTCTATGTGTCCCTGTGATGGACTTGCGACCTGTCCAGGGTGTACCCCGCCCCTCGCACAGTGATTGCTGGACATGGGCACCGGCGACCCCCGTGACCCAAAATGGAATAAGCGGGTAAAAGATAATGGATGGATGGATGTTTTGTTGATCTTTTTTTTTGTTGTAAATAATTGCCTTTTATTGCGGTTTTATTTATTTATTTATTTATTTTTGTATCTTGAGATCTATGACGTCATCAAATACTCGAGTTCTACTCGGGTTTTATTATGTTAATGTCGAGTTTAAAAATTATATACTCGTTCAACACCTAGTAATGAGAGCAATTTTGTACTGAATTCTGTAGGTGACAGGAAGCCAATGGAGGTTATGGAGAATGGGTGTAATATGTTCAAATTTACGAGCTCTCAATAAAATCCTGGCTGCACTGTTTTGAATATATTGAAGCTTCTGAAGGTTTTTGCTGGGGATTCCAGTAAACAGGGAGTTGCAGTAGTCGAGCCTGGAGGAGACAAAGGCATGGACGAGTTTCTCTGCATCAGCAAAGTAGTACACAGTATCAACTGTTGGCACTAACGTAGCGCTACGCTAACCAACCAACCACCCTCACAAGGCAACTAACCTAGGGGAAACACTGAATCCCTAACAGCGTGCTGATGTTCAACGTATTGTTTTTGTAATACTAGTGCTTAGTGTATTTTTAGTTAGCGTATTTCTTAGTTCATATCTTAGATCTTATTACTGTTTTTCTGTTACATTTGAATACTTTTGTTGGATGTAACTGGGACCCTGTGTACACAATTGTGTGTGTATGACAAATTAAGAACCTTGAATCCTTGAAAAGTATTTATTTTTACATGATAAACTTTGTCAGAAAAGCCATACCTTTTTGATTTACCTGAGATTGGTTGACCACATGATTAGCCTCCAGCTGAATGGTGAATTTCACATCAAGTTCAGAGGAAAACGAGTCCATGGGTGAAAGGGTTCCTGATGTTAATACAATGCTGTGCACCGACTTACTCAAGTTAGAGAAAGCCTGAGAAGGAAAAATATATATTAATAAAAACTCTGAATTCAAACATGCCAAAATCCAACTGATCTTTATTTTCAATCAACATATACAGTATACTTAAGAACAAAAGAAACGGCTCATCATTGTGGAGCCAGGTAAACCACCATTTATCTGCAGGTTGTCAGTTTGACATGTTGGGCCTCTCACCACAGCTGGGTTGAGGCACCAGAAACTCAATGTTAGGACTTCTTTCTTGAGCCGCACATTCTGACGATGACGAGGACGTGGCCGAATGAAAAAGCCTTGGGCATCAGTGACATCAGGCGGGACTTGATTTGTCCAAGTGTAGGTCCTCTGCAAAGCTATGCGGTAATCGTCGGCAAACCTGAAAACACAAATTTCTCCTTAACAAATCTGAGAAACCAAATAAAAAAAAAACTTACAAAACTTCAGCTTGGTCTCTGACCGGCTGTTCTCCATGTAGAGGAAATCCAGAACCATGAATAGATTTTTGAGCATAGTAGAGGTAGATGAGTTTATGGTTGGGAACTGCACTGTGTCCTCCTTACCACCGACTGAACCAACATGCTCTTCTTTCTCTAACACTTCTGTCAGATTTTGCTGTCATGCAAAGATAGTGACAAGGACACACAAAAACAAAACATTGTAAACATTTTTTACAATGAATATGTGTAAATTCTTCTAGAAATTCTTCATTCAACAGGAAGGGTGTTATGTGGAGTACCTCCAAGATGTGTACGCTGTCTGCAGTGATGCCAAAGCTATGAAAGATGCTTAGAATATCCTTTCCACCCCAAACTTTGCTGGCAATCTCATATGCACGTTCAGATAGTAAGACTTGGCTCTCTTGAATCCAACTGCACAGACAATAAGGAAATTCTGAATAAAGACACAAACTTCATTACGTCAGTCTACTTTTAGTCCCCCGACTTGGTGCCTGTGTGTTGGAGTTTTCCAAAGTAGACGAGAGGGTGGCTTCCATTCGCCTTTGGGTGGGGGGACGAACTCTGTTGTTTGTGCCTACGTGCCAAACAGCAGTTCAGAGTATCCGGCCTTCTTGGAGTCCTTGGCCGGGGTGCTGGAAGGTGCACCAGCTGGGGACTCCTTTATTCTACTAGGGGACTTCAATGCCCACGTGGGTAAATACAGTGTGTCCTGGAGGGGTGTGATTCGGCGGAACAGCCTCTTTGATCTGAACTCAAACGGTGTTTTGTTGTTGGACTTCTATGCTACTCATAGATAGTCCAGCACGAACACCATGTTCAAACATAAGGTTGTCCATGAGACTAACCTGTATAAATTATTACCGTTTCTTTTACAATTTATATTCTTCCTGTTGTTGGATGTAACTGTGACCCTGTGTACACAATTTTGTTCCACCTCATGTACCACATGTGATGAGAAGGACAATAAAGAACCTTGAATCATTGAATCCTAAATAAAGGTTAAATAAATAAGTGCACTTGGCACCAGGATGTCCAAGGTCATAGATCTATGATAGACTTTCGTGCCATCTGATTTGCCGCCATTTGTTTTAGACACTCGGGTGAAGAGAGGAGCTGAACTAACAAACGGATCACCACCTGGAAGTGAGTTGGCTCAGATGGTGGGGAAGATGCTGGACAGACCCGGTAGACCCAAACGTGTAGTGAGGGGTTGCTGGGAATGCTTGGAAGAACCCGGCAGAGATCTTAAACTCACACCTCCGGGAGAGCTTTAACCACATCCCAGCTGAGGTGGGGGACATTGAGTTAGAAAGGGCCATGTTCCACAACTCAATTGTTGAAATGGCTTCCTTGAGATGTGGCCGCAAGGTTGTCTGTGCTTCTCGCGGTGGCCATCCTCAAACACAGTGGTAAACACCCTGGGTTAGGGAGGCTGTCAAGCTGAAGAAGGAGTCCTATCAGTCCTTGGTGGCTGGTGGGCCTTCAGAGGCATATGAAGAGTACATGAAAGCAAAGCAGTCTGCAGCCTTGGCTGTTGCTGAGGCAAAAGCTCTAAGTTCGGTGAGGTCTTGGATAGACTCTCGGTCGGCTCAGAGGAGATTCTGGCAAACCATCAGATGGCTAAGGAGGGGAAAACAGTGCTTTACTAACACTTGTGTTCAGTGAAGGTAGGTTGCTGTTGACCTCAACCAGTGATGTCATTAGGACGTGAAAGGAATAATTCTCAGACCTTCGCAATCCCACCGGCATGTCTTCCATAGAGGAAACCGAGTCGGGGGGGACTTCGAGGTTGTTCTATCCATAACCGTGGCTGAAGTCGCCGAGGTAGCTAAAAAGCTATGCGGTGGCAAGGCTACAGGGGTGGATGAGATTCACGCTGATTTCCTTAAAGCTCATCAGAGACTCTACTTCCTCAGACGGCTGAGGCGAGCTGGTCTGGGAGGCTCAGTCCTCACCTCCTTCTGCAAGTGTGCAGTGGAGAGCATCCTGTGCTCCAGCATCAACGTGTGGCGTGGAGGCTGCACAGCTGCAGAAAGAAAAGCTTTGCAGAGAGTGGTGAAGGCTGCACAGAAGATGTTGGAGTCAGCCTCCCCACCATCACAGACATCTACACCTCCAGATGCAGGAAGAGGGCTACCTGCATCATGAAGGACCACACTCACCCAACACACATACTTTTTGCCCCACTCCCCTCGGGAAGGAGGTTGGGGAGCGTTGAGTGTGGAACCACTGGACTGAGGAACAGCTTCTACCCTGAGGCTGTTAGACTCATGAATCTCTGACTAGAATGGTCGCTGTGAAGAACCATATCATGTTGCTGCTGATCTGTTTCATGTTGCTGCTGATCTGTTTCATGTTGCTGCTGATCTGTTTCAATGTTGATGTGTTCATGCGTGCTCATCTGTTCACAGACTCATGTTCATGTTTGTGCTGATGTTCAATGTTTTATGTTATGAGTGCTTAGTGTATATTTAGTTGATGTTTTTCTTAGTTCATATCTTAGATGTTATTACTGTTTTTCTTATACATTTTATTGTTGGATGTAACTGGGACCCTGGGTACATAATTTCGCTCCACCACATGTACCACATGAGGTGCGAATGACAATAAAGAAACTCTGACTCTGACTCTCTCTCTGACTTAAAGCTCTGGATATTGTGGGGCTGTCTTGGTTGACATGCCTTTGCAACATTGCGTAGACATCGGGGCAGTGCCACTGGATTAGCAGACTGAGTTGGTGGTTCTCCTCTTCAAAAAGGGAGACCTGAGGGTAGGAACGTAGATCGACTGGTAAATTGAGAGCTTCGCTTTTTGACTCAACTCTGTCTTCTCCACGACAGACTGGTACAGCGCCCCCTTCACTGCCGACGATGTACCTATCCGCCTATCGATCTCACACTCCATTTTTTCCTTATTCATTAGTTAATAAATGACTTACTTAAATAAGACATAGCAAAAGTCTCTAAGAGGCAAATGCTTGGAGCGTCTAATGTTGCTGTTGACCATGCCATCCAGATCATCTATGGACACCTGCAAAGTGTTGTGATCTACAGTGAAGCTGGCGCTCTCCCTCGCACAGTCTTCAATGTTGTGGGCCTCATCCAGCACCAAGATCTGGCCTGCCAGGTCAATCTCCAGCTGGTAAAATATACAGATAAAAATATGGAGAAAAATCAAAATTATTTAAAAACTGACAGTTCTTTGTCTACAACTTTCTTCCTGGTGATTCTACAGCTGATCCACTTAAAATTTTAAATTCTACTCACACTGTCCCTGATCATTGGGTCCAGGAGATAGTTATAGGGACAAAAGATGATAGAGGCCCCCTGCACAAGTTCGCGAGCAGCATAGTAAGAGCATGAGTGGAGCCGTTTTCCTAGAGAGACCAGGTCCTCAATGTCCCACGCTTCACGTAGTCCATGAACCCATTGTAGGATGTGCTGGTCCCGCATCTTCTGAACACGGTGGTAGTACCGGCATGACATTCCCTGTAATGCGTATTAAAAAAAGGTATAAAATCCACATCTTGGTGAGTTTTTATGCTATTTTATTTAGTTAACTATACTGAACGAACAACTCTCCTGCAGTGAGCGTGCCAATTGCACGCTCCCTCAAAACTTGTAACATCTGTCATTGATGAAACTACACTTTTTAGAGTGGCCTTTTATTGCGGTCAGACTAAGGCACACCTGTATCCTGTCTAATCAGAATCTTGATAACACACCTGTGAGGTGGATGGAGTATCTCGGCAAAGGAGAAGTGCTAACCTATGTCCTTAAAGCCTGGCCTGAGCACAGATCTACATACCAAACCAATGCAGACATGCTCCTGTTTTTAGTTTTCTACACCGCCTTATAATCTAGCTGTTTTTTTTCCCCTTTCCACTACTTTTCCTTTTGGTTGCTATTTTGTTTTGATTTGTAAAAAAAAAAAAAAAAAAAAAAAAAATTAAATTTTGTATGCCTCTTTTGTGACTGTCTATTGTTGTTGTTGCTCACTGTTGTCATTTCTGTTTAAGAAATTATGTCTCTCTTGTAAATGAGTCCCCGAGGCTCAATGGGATTAACCTGTCTAAATAAATGTTAAATGAATGAAAAACATACCCCATTCCAATCAATGCACCTTGGATATTTAATGTTGCCTATGTGACCGTGGCAGGGAAAGTGTTTAAGCTCAGATGGGGCCCCCACTACAGAGAGGTGTTCCAGAGTCGGTTCTGTGAAATCTCACTGGGATCCATGATAACTTAGACTTCAAGTGCTGTAACAAGAGCAATCCGATATCAGGAAACCGAACAGGATTGCTATATTATAGACAATCAAGAACTGCCAATCCACATGTTCAGGGATATAGTACAACACACGACCCGCATGTAGGGCTATGGAATTCCTAGGATGGGGTACAGGGTGCATGTGATGTAAAGAGGCCATCCATTAATTACCATAATATCTAAGTTGAGAGAATTGATAACGGTGTATATTCAAAATGCTCCCTAAACAGGTCTCTCTTGAAAATGAGTTATCGTGGCTTAATGAGACTACCTGTATAAATAAAGGGTAAATGAAAAAAAAAAATGTGTCTGAAGGGGCTCCTTCAGACCGGAGTTCTACAAGGAACCCGACTTAAACCAGAGAAATGGGAAGTCACCATTTGGAAATGTGTGTGGAGGGGGCTGCAATCTGGACTACCACACCCATCACCTCTATTGGAAACCCTCCTTAAAAGCAGAGTGTGCAGAAAACAGACAAGTGCAGACAAAGAAGATGCCCATCCAAGTACATCTCAGGCATGCACCTGAGATAATCCCTATGGAAAATGATTCATCTAAGTGACTCTGACTTGGACTGTTCTGATGACCAACTCCCCTCTAAACGACCCAAGTGGTGTAAATAGATCAAGATAGAAGACAAAGCGTCTTGTCTGCAAACCCTGAAACTGGGTCTTGTAGTGTTAATAAGCTTAGCTATGCTGCTTATCATTTGGTACCAAGATGAAGTCGATATGGAGAACATGACTGTGGTAGATGAATGGCACCATCGCAATGGGACAGACGAAGACCAACATCCTGCTGATATCAAGGAACCGGCCCTGGGGCCACAGAGTAGAGCTGTCATTTCTAACCTGAGCCTTAAGCCCGGCCCTACCCAACTCAAATTCGGGGTAAGCCGGGCCATGATAATGTGCTGGATGGGCAGGCTAGGTCAGTGTTGGGCTTTTAATTAGATCAGGATCAGCCGTGATCCAATAATATGATAACATGGCCTGCCATACAGCTGCAAGCGACCATTTCACTGCGAGCTGACCAGACTTGAAAAAGGTAAAAAATTCAGTTAAGTTTCAGATGGGACTGTACTGCCAGGCAGCAATCCATTGCCCAAATGGATGTTTATTCTTCCACTGCACTCAGCAGACACACAAGGCTGACAACCTAAACAGGTGAGATCCCAAAGCAGATGTGGTTCAGAGCAGGGTTCATGTCTGAATAAATCAGAATGTAGGCAAATGCTCTTTTACGGCCATGAAAGGACAAACACCTCTCAGCTCTGAATCATCTGCCCCTTTTATTCAGCTGCACGTCCCCGACTGTTAATAGCTAATTAAAAATGTCGGGTTTTTTTCCGGGTTCGGACCTGCAATTACTGTTAAATCGTCGGGTCAGGTGGGATTCGGAAATTATGACTGCGGGCTGGGACTGGGTCGGATCAGATTTTTTGGGTCCGAATGCAACTCTACCACAGAAGTAAGTCGATTTCAAGGAGGCTGAGGACGTTCTCTTTCTCCACACAGAAAAGGAGAAATGGATGCTGGAGTGAGGGCCATACATGGGCAGGGTCTGACCTCAAGGAGGGAGTGTCAATGTCTATGTATTTATATAGCACATAAAAACAACAACAGCTGACCAAAGTGCTTTACAGTTAAGACAAATAAAGAGTAAAAAATTAATCTAGTGCCACTCAAAAACATAAGAAAGTAAATACACAACAAGAATAAAATCAGCTCAAAATTTGTTCTCAGACTCTGCGTGGATCAAATGCCAAGAAATACAAATGAGTCTTCAGCAAAGTGTCAAGTTAGGTGGATGAAAAGAGGTGTTGAGGTCAGACTGCCTATGTCTGGTGGAGGTGGACATTTGAAGAAAGCAATCTTAAAAGTTAATGAATGAGCAATAAAAGAAGTTTGTTGGTGTGTTGATTAAAGACGTTATGTTTGTCTGTCAAGGTGTTGAAAGAATTAAATGTTATTATGATCTTTTCTGTAATCAAAAAGGTCCTATATGATCTATATTGTGATCAAAGAAGTATTCATTAAGTGAATGTAAAAGTTAGATCTGGCCTTCACTTTTAATTGTCAAGTCAAGTCATTTTAGAAGTTATATTCACCTGGGTAATCATTAATGGGTTTTGTGAGTTTATACCCATCTCTTTGAGTAGTTTTTTTTTTTTTTTACTTTTAGGATTGAAAGTGAAGCATTAAGACAGAGTGTCAGTTGAAGCGAGTGACAGGAACTCAGCAGGTGCAGTCAGTGTGGTTAGGCTTCACATACCCATATCCTGTTAAAGATGTGTTGTGCAGAGTTGGGCTGTAAAAAGGCACAAACTGTGAGTTTATACGGTATCTCTTTTAGTAAGTATTTTTTTATGTTTAAGATAAAAGGTTGAGAGCTGAGAAATATAGAAGTGAACAAGAGTTGCAACACTCAAGAGACAGTCAGGAATAATACCTGAGCTTATAACAGAAAGGAAGTGGAAGTATGCTGTCCAGACAGCCAAGCTGTTACATAAAAATCACAAGCTGCAAAAAAGAGGACAAACTGTGCTGGCAGTTGAAAAGTCTTCAAAATCAGTGGCCCCCAACCACCGGGCCGTGGATCAATTTATATGGAGCAGCACATAAAAATAATAATAATATTTTGAAAAATCACCGGAGTCTCTCCGATGAGTCACTCTTGACGCAGGTCAACATACACAAGTGGTAAGTTTCAGTTTCTGTTAGACGCATGCACAGATTGGTTCTACAGTGCCCATTCGGGTGGAGTTAGCTGCGTGGTCTGGAGCAGACAGGAGGAGGTGTGCGGCTGTGTCTGAGCATTTGAAGGATTACACTGCATATTTTTCAACCCACCTGACAAAGAGTGACTGTAAAACTATGAACTAAATAAAACTATAATTTTAAACAAAGCTTCCTAATATCACATCAGAGCTGGTTTTGTGAACGCCCCTCACCTGCAGAGCTGCAGCGGTTTTTCATTACGAACACTTTGCAGTCATTTCAATACTGAGTTTACATCTTTTGTTTCATGTTAATCTACTGTAATAAACCTTTGTAAAATACACCAGAATGCAGGAAATGGCATCTACTTTATCCAAAATTCTCTGGGGGAGGACCCCCAGACTCATGGCTGGTTGGACCATCAGCCACATACCCTGCAGTAACCACTAGGAAAGTGGGTGGGGTAGGGGGCTTACTGAAGATTACTGGCATTAGTCTGAGCAGTGAGCTAGTAGCAGTTGGTCTGTGATCATCCCTGAACTGGTATGGTGCTGCCAGGAGGCTTTGAGGAGCAGACACTTGAGACGACAAAAACAATTCAATTCAATTCAGTTTATTTATATAGCGCCAAATCACAACAAAGTTGTCTCAGGGACTTTACAGGAACAAGAAGAATGAATGAAGAGGACAATCCATCAATTGGAGGACAAGCAGATTCACAAATGCAGACAGCTGATCTAGGTGAAGGAGACCGTAAACCAATAATTAATGTTCCAGTGAGAGTGGTGCTTCATGGTAAGAGCTTCTCAACCTGGGACCCATCAGTGCAGGAAAGTCAGTGCACACACTGCAGCAGGATTTTGGCCCATTCCTCCACAGATCTTCTCTAGATCAGCCAGGTTTCTGGGCTGTCACTGCGAAACACAGAGTTTGAGCTCCCTCCAAAGATTTTCTATAGGGTTTAGGTCTGGAGACTGGCTAGGCCACTCCAGAACCTTGATATGTTCTTACGGAGCCACTCCTTGGTTCTCCTGGCTGTGTGCTTCGGGTCATTGTCATGTTGGAAGACCCAGCCATGACCCATCTTCAATGCTCTAACTGAGGGAAGGAGGTTGTTCCCCAACATCTCTCACTACATGGCCCCGGTCATCCTCTCCTTAATACAGTGCAGTCGTCTTGTCCCAAGTGCAGAAAAAAACCCAAAGCATTATGCTTCCACCCCCATGCTTCACAGTAGGAATGGTGTTTTTGGGATGGTACTCATCATTCTTTGTCCTCCAAACACGGCGAGTGGAATTAAAACCAAAAAGTTCTATTTTGGTCTCATCTGACCACAGAACTTTCTCCCATGGCTCCTCTGGATCATCCAAATGGTCATGGGCAAACGTGTGCTGATTTAACCAGGGGAACCTTCCGTGCCATGCATGATTTTAAACTATGACGTCTTAGTGTATTACCCACAGTAACCATGGAAACAGTGGTGCCAGCTCTCTTCAGG